TATTGCAGATGAGTGGACATTATTAGAGTCAAATATGCCAGAACGTAGATCCAAGTAAGTACAATAACAATTTTCAAATTGGATTTACTGACTGATAGTGTGAACTACTGATAATAATGAGAAAATGTAACAGTGCCTATACTTTTTTTTTTCTTTTTACAGCATGGGTATAGTAGAACATCAAGGTCTTATTTACATTGTTAGTGGATATATGGACTTTTACAACCCCATGCATGATCTTCTCTCATACAATCCTGTAACTGGGGAGTGGAGAGCACTAGCAGGACGTGCTCCACCTCGCTACAACTACATGGGTGTTGCAGTTTTGAATAACTTTTTGTATTTAGTGGGTGGTCTTTTTAATGAAGAAGGGGAAAAATCACTAGAAAGATATTCTTTTGAACAGGTAATGTGCATGCTTATAATTATATACAATACAATTTGAATTATAGTAGTGAAAAGGGAGTAAAAATTGTATAACTCCCTTCTTTTCTCTTTCCAAAGACAATAATAATAATTTAAGTAATATGGGAGAAGAATTTTTGTAATACTGTAGTGTTGTATAACCTCCCTTCTTTTCCTTTCCACAGAACGAATGGTTTAAGTGTTCATCAATGAATTTTTGGCGAAGTATCCCAGCAGTTGTTGCCACAAATTCTCTGTTATATATCATAGGTGGTCATCGTCCCAATGACCACCTTGAACTGGTAAGAAAGGAAGAATGGAAATGGAAGAATGAAATGAATAAATTATATTACAAATTTAACCACCTAACCACCTGTTTTTTTTTCTAAAGGTATCTGTCGCTAATGTGGAGTGTTTCGACCCTAAGACTAATAAGTGGATGAACTGTACATCACTCCCTGAGGGCCGGTCTTATGCTAGAGCAGTCTTACTTTAACTCCCTTCGACATCCCCAATCAAGAAAACTTCCCTCAAGACTGACATTTGTCTCCTCCATATTTAATCCATTTTAAATAAAAAAAAGCTTGTTTCCTATCTTTTTTAACTTACCCTAACATGAAATTTGAAAGTATTCTTATAAAGTATCCTTGTGGATCAATGGTACCATTGTTTAATTTTGTCGAAATATCCCAGCAGTTGTTGCCTGCCACAAATCCTCTGTTATGTCATAGGCGGTTACGGTTATCATAACTTGGTAAGGAAGAATGGAAATAAGAATAAAATATATTAATAATTCCTAAATATTTTTATAATAATCCTTTATAATAAGTTTTAATCTAAAACCTGAGGATAAAAAGTGGAGAAACTGTACACCACTCCCTAAGGAACGGTCTAATGATGCTTTAGTAGTCTCAATTTGACTCGAAACCTTGAGTCTATCCCTCCTCCTAATCACAGCCTATTAACATAAAATGTACCGGGAACTTGATATATTAATGCTAGAGCAGTCTCAATTTACTCTCTTCTCTCCCAAGCTGACAACTGGTTAGGTTAGTCTTACATTAGTATCTGAAGATGGCGGCTGCACGTGTGGAGCTCTCTCATCACGAGGAGGAGGAGGAGGAGGAATGTAAATCTTATCCTAACTACCTACTAGACGATATACATTTCCTCTGGCAGTCAGAAAAGTTATGTGATGTAGAAATATTATTAGCTGATGGATCAGTTGTGAAGGTGAGTGAGTGAAACATTTATCTGTGAGTGAAGAAACATTTCTCTGCCTGCCCTCCATCACCCACCCATCATTTACACACCATATCGGGGGAGGGAAACTTAACTACACCGCCCACACTCACCCTCCATTCCTTATTACCGCCCAGGAGAAGTCAGTGGAACATGATTAACAAAGTCTATCCAGTGCAGTGGAAGAAATTTCCCTGCTCTCCCCTAACTTCCTTTCTCCCCCGACACAAATAAAGAGCTGTTTATCCAACTTTCTTCGCACGATAGAATCAATGTTTCCTAGCAGTACTTTGATTTGGGCTTGCTTCCTAGCAGTGGTTTAATTTTGGTTTGCTTCCAGGTAATGGTTTGATTTTGTTGTCCGTCCGTCCATAATTCTCTCACTTTTATGTAACTTCACAAAACCTATGCTATGACAACGACTCTTCACCCAGATTTTTACGTCCCCTTAATGTATGTATAAAGGCAGTATGAACGAACTAACAAATTTTAAAAAATAAACGATGGAGATTACATTTTATTCCACAGGCTCACCGTGTAATACTGTCAGCGGGAAGTGACTATTTTAAGACCATGTTTACGTGTGGATTTGCTGAGAAAACAACACAATCAATAGAAATGAAGTCTATGAAACCCAATATATTAAAACTGCTTATCGACTTCATATATACTGGTAAGGGAAAATATTTTAAGTTTTCATAGTGCTATGCTATCTATAAGTAAAATTTTTATTTTGTTGCAAATGAAGAAATGAAATATTTTTTTTCTTTTTTTGTAAAAATACTTTAGGAAACATCGAGATAACAGTGGGAAACGCACAGGAGTTAATTGTGGCTGCGAACATGCTGTTCATGCCCCGTGCTGTATTTGTTTGTACAGACTTTCTCAAGAGCGAACTTGATCCATCCAATGTTTTGGGAATTTACAGGTAACGAATTTTTATTTTGTTTCTGTTCTGTTTTAATTTGATTGATTCTGATTCGATCTAATCCTATTCTAGAGAGGATATTTTTTTATTTTTTTTATTTTTTTTTTTTTTACAGGTTTGCTCAGGCCCATTATTTAGTAAGCTTGTTGAATGGTTCGCGGGATTTCATCTTCTCCAATTTCGTAGAAGTGACAATGGAGCAAGAGTTTCTTGAGATTCCTAAAGAAACTCTACTATATTTTTTGGATTCTGAGTATCTTCATATTGACTCTGAGTTTCAGGTAAATATTATATATTTTTCTTTTTATTTAATATTTATTTATTGAAAATTTTATTTCGTTTTTCTTTTTTTATTGCAGCTCTCACTTTCTTTTTCTTTTCTTTTGTTATATTGCAGGTATTCTCTGCTGCCATCAGATGGATTACACAAGAAATAACTGATAGACTTTGTTGGATTCTCGATATTTTAAAACGAGTGAAATTGTCTTTAATTTCAAGTAAACTAATAGAAAAAGCAATTAATGAGTGCTCTGACATCAGATTGAAAGTTAACCTTAAACAGCAGATAAACTTGGCTAAAGAGGAAGCCTCCTTTTATGTCCAGCCAAGAATTTGTAATCGAAAGAAAATTTATGTCATAGGTGGATCAAGGAAAGAATTCAATATAATATGGAATAGATCAGAGGAATATCTACTTAAAAGTATCGAATGTTTTGATACCTTTAGGCAGAAATGGCAAAAAGTTTGTCCTATGAAAATTGGGAGAATTTCACCAGGAATAGAAGTCTTACATGGAAAAATTTTCGTGGTTGGAGGGGTTGGAGAGATAGACGCTCAGATTTTGGCGGATGGCGAAGTTTATGATCCACAGGAAGATTATTGGACTGGAATATCTTCTATGGTAATCCCACGGTGTGATTTTGGATTATGCGCTTATGGTGGTTATCTCTATGCCTTCGGTGGTTGGACGGATTCAATGGAAATAGGAAAAAATATTGAAAGATATAACCCTATTACAGATGAGTGGAGATTATTAGAGTCAAATATGCCAGAAGCTAGATCCAAGTAAGTACAATAACCAGTACAATAACAATTTTGATTTACTGATAGTGTGAATTACTAATAATAATAATGAGAAAATGTCGCAGTAACCTGTACTGTTTTTTTCCTTTTTTTTCTTTTTATAGCATGGGTATAGTAGAACATCGAGGTCTTATTTACATTATTGGTGGATATACGGACACTTACAATCCCCTGCATGATTTTCTCTCATACAATCCTGTAACTGGAGAGTGGAAGAATCTAACATCAATGCAAGGTCCACCGTCTAAGACGATAGGCGTTGCAGTTTTAGATAATTTTTTGTACGTAGTAGGTGATGGTATTCTGGATGAAAATTCAATGAAAAGATATTCTTTTGAGCAGGTAAGATTATTTACCAGTACTTAAAGTTTAATATTGTAACCAGGAAGTGGAAGAATTGTTGTAATACTTTAGGAACAAAGGGAAAAAATTGTATACCCCCCTCCCGCCCCCTTACTCTTGTTTTAACCTTTTTCTTTTACTTTCCCACAGAACCAATGGTTTAAGTGTTCGTCTTCAGAGTATTTGGGTCGAAGTAGCCCAGCAGTTGTTGTCACAAATTCTCTGTTATATGTCATAGGCGGTTACTGGAGTGGTTTGAATGGAATTGGAATGGTAAGGAAAGAAGAATAAAAGAATGATTAATATAAAATGATAAATATTGATAATAATATTTATAACTTTTTTTTTTCTTTTTAGATTTCTCTCGCTAATGTGGAGTATTTCGACCCTAAGAATAACAAGTGGATAAGCTGTACACCACTCCCTGAAAGTCGGACTAATGCTATAGCAGTCTTAATTTGACTACTCGAAACTTTGAAAACCTATATACTGATTTCCTCCTCCTCCTCCTCCTTCATTCTCACTCATTCTTATTTTAGTAAATAAAAAGCAAATAAATAAATGTATAGTTTTTTACTACCCTATATGATATAAAATTGTATTATTCTTTGTAAACTCTACCCAACCTATCCCAACATACTGCCAACTACCTGCTAGGTCACATTGCAAATTAGCCAATCGAGAAAACAAAAATAATAGAGGGTTGTATTATTCTTTGTAAACTCTACCCAACCTATCTCCCAACCTATCTCAACATACTGCCAACTACCTGCTAGGTCACATTGCAAATTAGCCAATCGAGAAAACAAAAATACTCAGTTTTTCACATATATTTGCGGTTTTGTATTCTTGTAAACTCTCCCAACATACTGCCAACTACCTGCTAGGTCACATTGCAAATTAGCCAATCGAGAAAACAAAAATATTCAGTTTTTCACATATATAGGTTTTGCAGTATGTGATAAAAAAACAATGAATAAAATAATTTTAATAGTGTTTATTTGGGTTCGGTTAAAATAATAACAATGTGATTAAATCTTTTCCATTCCATACATTAAAGGAAATTTGAACATTTCATCCGGAATACTTTATTTTTTCATAAAGATCTGCATTCCTCTATGACGCAACAATAACAAAGGGGGGAATGTGATATCGTGTGAAGATTCTAATTCTAGGATAATGGTCTCTCCTGTAAGGGTAAGGGTTTTCACAAAGATGTTGTTTTCTTTTCCTTCTCTAATAAGTTGCAGTGTAGATTCCTTCTGGATATTGCAGTCGGAAAGAATGCGACAATCCTCCAACTGCTTACCAGCAAAGATCAATTTCTGCTGGTTTGGGGGGGTGCCTTCCCTATCCTGAATTTTGGCCTTTACATTTTCAATGGTGTCTGAAGGTTCTACTTCTAGGGTAATCTTTCCTGTAAATTTCACAAAGATCTGCATTCCTCCTCTAAGACGCAATACCAAATGGAGTGTAGATTCCTTCTGGATATTGTAGTCAGAAAGAATGCGACAATCCTCCAACTGCTTACCAGCAAAGATCAATCTCTGCTGGTCTGGGGGGATGCCTTCCTTATCCTGAATTTTTGCCTTTACATTTTCAATGGTGTCTGAAGGTTCTACTTCAAGAGTAATAGTCTTTCCAGTGAGGGTTTTCACGAAGATCTGCATGATGTACTGCAAAGAAAACAATTCATTAGTAAAATTTTAACCAACAGTATAATTCTTAAATAATCTTAAATTTAAATATCTACAAGATTGTTGAGCATGTTATAGTAGGTAGCAAGGCAACCATTATATATGAAAACACAAGACTACTACATTAATATTTTATACACATATTGTACAGTACACATAAATCTTGGCTTTAACCAAAGTAACTCATACCCCCCACACACACATACAGTATAGAGCAATAACATTTGCAGTCTATCTTCTGTGTAACCTAGCTATGCATATACAAATATAGAATAATAAAATTAAATACCTAGCATTTATGGGCTTTAGGCAGGCAGAAATGGCAGAAAGTTTGCCCAATGAAAATTGAGAGATGTGTAGGGCCAGAAGTAGCAGTCTTACATATAGAAATTGAACCGGCAGACGATGAACTTTATAATCCTGATCCGCTTTGGGAAGATAATTTGATCGGGGTATCTTCTATGGTGCTCCCATGTTGATTTTGGATTATGCGCTCATGGAGGTTATCTCTATACCTTTGGTGGTTTGACTGTCTTAGGAGTGTGGCTGTAGTTCAGTTTTGTTACTGTTGGAAGAAGCAACGGAAGCACCACCACCACCACCACCACCACCACCACTACGGGTATTACCAGATATCACCACACCACTAAAAATAAAACTGACAACTAGTTAGTATTACATTAGTATCTGAAGATGGCGGCTGCACATGTGGAGCTCTCTCATAACGAGGAGGAGAAGGAGGAGGAAGAGGAATGTAAATCTTATCCGAACTACCTACTAGACTACATACATTTCCTCTGGCAGTCACAAGAGTTATGTGATGTAGAAATATTATTAGCTGATGGATCAGTTGTGAAGGTGAGTGAGTGAAACATTTACCTGTATTTATCTCCTACACTTTCTTCTCTGCCTGCCCTCCATCACCCACCTTTTATACCCATATCGAAGTACACCGTCCACACTCTACCCGCCGCCGCCCTAACTGCCCAGGAGTCTAGGACCAAGGAATAGTGGAAGAAATCTCCTAACTTCTCTGAATGCTTCCTAGAAGTGGTTTAATTTTTGGTTTGCTTCCTAGCAGTGGTTTGATTTTGGCTTGCTTCCTAGCAGTGGTTTTATTTGGGCTTCCTATTGTTCGACCAGTCTACATCTATAGGTACCTCACCGCACTGTTATTATGGCCTCTCTCATTTTACATCCTCCACTTGCCCCATGACCTCCTCCTATAGGTCCCAGGCCGTTACCAACACTTTTTCCTTCTCACAAAATATCCCTCCTCCCAGTCCTCCTCCCAGTCATAGGCCTGGTATTTGACGACATATTAATGTCACGTCAATCTTTATCATAACCAGGAACTCCCTCCCCCCCCCACCACCTACAAATTCAATCCATCTCTCATTTTTATTTAAACTTGACAAAACCTATGTTATGACGACGACCCTTCACCTAGAC